TTATCTCGGTGGCTGCAGTTGCCAAAGTTGTGTGCCGCCATCTCAGCGAACCGCTCCGGCACCGGTCAGGAGTCAAGCCAACTTGAAAAAGAGGAACAATAGACTTTGAGCGCATTGGACTCCTTTTTTTGTTTTTGCAATTATACACAGAGGGGGGTAACTGCAGCACACTCGCAGGCTAGTTCATCTTCCATGTTGTTCAACCATCATGCTGCGTGGTTTGTTGGTGGTTTGCAGCAACGATCCCTAGAAAGACTGGGAAAAAGAGTGCGAGAAGTGCTCTCAAATGCTCTTGGGGCCGCGGGAGCGCCGGCTTACACTTGGGCAGGCTAAACGTATGAATGCAGCACTTGGACGGGTCTCTAAGCCGGAAGGTACCTGAAGACATCTCAGCTCAGTCCTGGATGCAACCGTTATATTGACAGCTGAGGTAGGAAGAAGAGCGTGTACATGAGGAAAAGGTCCCAATGCTAGGGTGAGCCAATCCATTCTTCCTTTCAAGCCCTTTTCCTCCATCTCTCTCCCCCACCTGTCAGCTCTTGGAATCGCATGCCAGGTAAACGAACGCAGAGACTGGGTATGCGAGTTAACTCGCTCATTCGCATCTCTCGCCAATTCTCAGGGTTGCACACGACTCACGGTCCAGGCTGGAGAGATATCTCTGGATTGCAAAAGGCAGAGGGAAACCAAGGAGAAATAGAAATGGAAAGATATTATTCTAAAGAACAAGTTCATTTACGCCATGGCTGTTGCCAAAGCCTTGACTACAGGCTCTTCCAACCCTTCCAAATCACAAGGTGTTACACGGTTGTAGCTGGAGAACCCGATTTTTAGGCAAGGTGACCAGCCATCTCTCCTTCCTTTTCCTTCCCCATCCCTTTTTCTCGCTAACTCGCTAGCTTGAGATGCGAGAAGGAAAATGGCCATCTCTTTGTCCAATCTGTCTATAGGAGGGTATATCATCGGGTAATAGCTTATGTTTGGACATGCATCCTGATATAAATGATCTAATAATCAGGAATAATAACCCGGTTAAACTCTATGAATTTGGATATTGGTTTAGATACTACTTCTGATGATAGTAAAATTGTTCTAAACAGTGGAAGTAATTTCGACCTGCGAGCAAACTGGACTACTGATGGAGATGTGATGCTTGGAAAGTTAAAACATTTGAATAGTGATGCTGTTGTGAAACTGATATTCAGGGACTACACATCTTGAACTAGACCGTAGTCAGTTTGTTGCATATAGCAGCTCTAATTTAAGCAATGATGAAAAGCCAAATCGAGACATTCAAGATGACATTGCTGAAACTGTTAAACAGTTTCATATCAGCTATGAAAACGATCAATATAAAGAAGCACCAGGTAGGTGTTATCGCTCAACAAGTTTAAGCAAATATACTAGATCAATACGAATTGCAAATGATCAGGGTGAATATGTAACAATGCCTTATGAAAAATGACTTGAATTGATCGGAGTGCTTTGCAGATCTTGAGTGAAAGAGTTGAATACTTGGACATTGAATGGGTGTAATTGAAAAGACACAAACATGTATGTACATATATAATACCATATGAATATATATATATATATATATGTAGTATTGTTATTATATTTGCGAGAAGTGATACTACGACCATCAAAACACAGATGCAATTGCAAATGGAACAACACTTTCGTTTGGTGGTACTGGCACGGACAATAACGACTTGCACTCTTGACCGCGGAAAGATGCATAGGCGGGCAAACTGCAATCCATAGGCAAAAAGGGCCCCCCCAGAGACGGCAAGATGTTCTAGTCAACTGGGATACACCCAAACCAATCACAATTGAAACCAACTACAAAAGGCCTACCAAAAGCGCTTTAGAATACCCATCCGACTCTTGAAACCGGACCCCCCCTTTTTGGGCTTCCATGAAATTCTCTCTTGGACAGAAAAACAAAGGGCTTCTTGATATCAAGATATCACCCACCCAGCCGCCTCGAATCGATTCGAGCTTTGCTTTGGGCCCGTGCCAGGTGCTTCGCACTCGCGGTGCCCTGAAGGCGAAGGCGAAGCTTCGGAGGCGCGGGGAGGAAGGAACACGAGGGGTCATATGGACTGGTTGTCCTTGGTTCCAAATTTATGAGGGTTCCATGTTGGGGTTACTCTATGATGGACCTACAGCCATGCATAATACACATGTATTCCTGCCATCATGCACACCTATATAGACCATAGCCTTATACAGTCGGTACGTAGCCAAAAATCCAATGAATGGACAGACTATAGTCTAGCCGCGACGAAAAGACACAGTTGCCAAAGTCAAAGACTGGAGAGGGAACGGAAAAACCCACATTGAAGCCGCTAAAGACAATGATCTAAAATATCGAACAAGCAATGAGACGCTTGCCAGGGAAAGAAACAACTCTTGGCCTCTCTCCGAACCCCGCCCAGCCACCCCTCCGCCCCTGCCACTTCCGCCTTTCGGCCAAGGCAAACGGCCAGTGCCGCACCCGCAACTGCCATGGTGGAAGCCTGACGAATGCCAACGAGGCAAGGTGCTCAACGCACCGAACGAGTGGCTGGTTTAGTTTAGGACGCGGATATGTAGCACCATACAAACAGATGTATGCGTGTGTGTGCAAGTGAGTACGTGTGTATGCGTGTATGTGTGCATGTCTGTATATCTGTATATCTGGTTTGTATGTGTGTGAGTATGTATGTATGTGTGCGAGTATGTATGTATGTATGTATGTGTTTGTATGGATGTATGTATGTATGGATGTGTGTGAGTATGTATGTATGTGTGCGAGTATATATGTATGTATATGTGTGCATGGATGTATGGATGTATGTATGCATGCATGCATGCATGCATGGATGGATGGACGGACGGACGGACGGATGGATGCATGTATGTATGTATGTATGTGTGTGTGAGTATGTATGTATGTATGTGTGCGTATGTATGTATGTATGTATGTATGTATGTATGTATGTATGTATGTATGTATGTATGTATGTATGTATGTATGTATGTATGTATGTATGTATGCATGTATGTATGTATGTATGTATGTATGTATGTATGTATGGGTGTATGTATGTATGTATGGCTGTGTGTGAGTATGTATGTATGTGTGCGAGTATCTATGTTTGCATGCATGCATGCATGTATGTATGTATGTGTGTGTGTGTGTGAGTATGTATGTATGTATGTGTGCGAGTATGTATGTATGTATGTATGTATGTATGTATGTATGTATGTATGTATGTATGTATGTATGTATGTATGTATGTATGTATGTATGTATGCAGGTATGTATGTGTGTGCATGGATGTATGCACCAATGGCCCCTCGTTTCCCTTCAAAAGGCCCCCCCACTCTGCCTGAGAATCACGTGCCCTTTTGAAGGCAGGGCCCCACCTCCATCCTTCCAGACACGGGGGCGGCTGTGGAAGCGGAGGAAGCCTCGGAAAGCGCGCATGCTTCAGTTTGCTTATTTCCCCGGGGGGAGTGGTCATTGACGGATTTCAGGGGAGAAATGTGTGTTTCACGTTCTGCGCGTTCTTGGGTTGTTTTCACGGATTTCATGGGTTGTGTTCACGTTCTTCGCGGGATCCTTCCTGGATAAGCTCCGAACTTTGAGAAAGATAGACAGCCCAGACGGGTTTCCACTACCCCCAACTATCCTTTCGGGAAATTTGGTCTGTATGGGACCCCTATACAACCAAAAGTGTTTCGAAACAGGGGTTGTGAAAAATGAAAACCTTAGCCCACAAAGATAGGTTTCTATGGCACATGCCACTGGGTTCCATGCCTCCAACATGCGCATCAGAAAATTCCCTGACAATGAGGCGTCTTGTTTAACGTTGACGAAAACGTGTGCTGGCCTATATATATATATACATAAATATATGTGTACATATCTGTACCTGTAGGCGTATGAGTGTGTAGATAGTAGGCACGCAAGTTTGTGTGGCATCCCACCTCTGCTTGAACTACGCGGGCCAGTTCTGCGATTGCGCGCATTTGTACGTAACACAAGCACCAACGCTGGTCTACACACACACACACACCCGCGCGCGTGTATGCGTTCATTTGTTGCGAGCATATGCCATTCATAAATGCAAGTTGCTCAACTTACTTCTGGTTCGTTCCTTGCATCACCGTGCAGGGCCCTTGCGCTGCGTCAACTGCGCCCTTCTCCCGGCTTCCTCCTCCCCCCTCTTAAAGCACAGGGTTTACAGCGGATCAAGGCGTCTGAACGGCCCATCGACACGCACCGTTCTGCTGTTCCAGCTCCTGTCTAAAGCGTTGTCCCTCTGATGCGTGTTTCGCTCCCACATCATGAGGCGCAGCGCAGCGCGGCGCGTTGTGAACTCCGGCTCAAGGCTTGGAGGTGCTGGCAAGGCAAACAGCGCATAGGGCAAGCCGCTGTAGCAGTCGTTGAGTAAGGTTCTGGTTCTTACCACCTCTACACAAGTAACCGAGGTTCATTCGGTGGAAACTTGCTGGGGGTCTCCGCTTGTCATTTATTGCTTTAGGCCGGTCACGCTGGTGAATCGCTCTGCGCTGCCTGCACTTGTTGGAGTTCTATCTTGAGTTCGTTGGGACAATCAGTTCCTGACCACTGCTGACATGTCATCCGCGTGCGCACGCGCAACGGTGACACCAAAATTAACATGGAAAAAATACTGCTTGCATGGCGGGAAGCTTGGCGAAAGGCCCCGCTTCCCGGCGCGCACAAAACAGGCGGCAAGCGCGCGACTCGCAAGCCCTGACAAGCCTAGTCTTGGGCAACTTCGAACGCGACGCTCTGTCTAAAGGCCTCGACAAACGCAAGGCAGCGTGGTGCCGGGGGCGCGCGCTCCACGATTTGCCTCACCGCCCCTCCAAGTACGCGACGAGCGCCTGCTGCTTCAGCGGCGCAACAAATTTCTACCGGCCTGCGAGCAGTACGCGCACGCTTTGGATTCATCTTCGATGTCAGGCTGCTCGGCTGAAGGCGCGCAAAGAAGGAAAGCCGGGAGACTTCTGCCCAGCAACTGGGCAGACAAGCCGTAGTCAAGGTCGGCGTCAAAGCCCCCCCGTTTCAACTTCAACTTGACGGGATTAGTCAAAGCGAGCCACAGCGGGCGGCTGCGAGACAATGGCCTGAAGGCAACACCTTCTTGCGAAGGCGCGTACGTGTCAAACTAGGAGCCAGCAATCCTTTTAGGCTTCTTGTCTTGCAACTCGCTGCTCAGAAAAGTGTAGATATCAACGGGTCCTTGATGAACATGCAACGTGCGGACGAACACGCGAAGCGCGGACCAGCCAGCACTGATCCCCGGTTGGGTCATGATCTCCAGGTAAGTCAGGACTATGGTCGTGGCATTTTGCACAGGTGACGCGAGCCTCACATCAATGAGGCAATCAACCTATGCAGGATGGGTGGGAGCCGGCAAAGACTTGTTTGACCACTGCCTGGTACCGCGCGTGTCTCCTCGTCTGGCCCCCAAATTTGCAAAGCTTTCCGAAGCTGTGCCCCGCGCTAGCCATCCATACTGTCCTGGGGAGTGAGCTCACTCCCCGCGTGGCAAAGGAGCAGCGCCAACAACTTGGGGGTATGGACACACGGCATGCTCTTGAACCGCGCACAGCATAAGTAGCAACAAAGCAAACAGCAGCAGTGCCATGGCTCAACGCTGCAGCAGTGCCATGGCGCCCAACAACAAAAAACGATATTGTTGCGGTCGACCACCTGAGAAGTCCGCAGAGGCCACTCTGAAAAGCGCCAAAAACCTGAGTTTTTGAGGTCGACCACCCAAAGTCTGCACAGGGTTAGGCGAGCGATGCGAGAATCGCAAAAAGCCGCTCTAGCTTTTGAGGGTCGACCTGCCCAAAGAGCGCGTGCACTGCGAAGCAGTGTGCGCCGCTGATGTCCCATCTCCGCGCTGGCTCCAAGACAGCTCCGGGACCGCCGAGGTGACTTGCCCACGTGTGGCAGAGCAGAATTCATGCACGGGGCTAACATGTTCGGCCTCTTGCTATGCCACAGTTCTCTGATTTCTTGCCTTTTCATAGCTATTTCGCTTCCTCGAGAAAGCTAGCCTGCACGAGATCCAAATTCTAGTTGAACTTGCGTGGGTTCACTAACTGGTTCATCAAGTTTGTTCCTCGATTTCGTGATTATTCTACTTATCAGTTCATATACATACAGTTTACATACACGTACATGTGTGTGTGTGTGGGTGAGTGTCAACATGTTTATAAGCCACTTGAGAACGTCTGTACCATGGAATGTCCGAAAGTGGCAAACTCAATGGAAACCACCAGCAAATTGCACCTATTGAAGCGACCAAAAATATGACTTCGGGCGTCGTCAGCTGGGGCGTCCGGCCGTCTTGGCTGCTCGAAGTTGGCCACTGGAGGTGCTAGGGGCGACAAAAGCGGCTCCGCCCAAGAGGGCAGCGACACCTCGCAGCCCGCCACCCGCAACGTTCTGCCCTCAATTTCGCTGCGCACATCCGCCGAGGCTGTGGGGCGATTGGATTTGTTTGGCAAGAAAAGTATTTTAAAAAATACTAGTTAGTGCTTGAGGGCCCCCCTGGCTGAGATTGCGCTTTTGCGATTCTCACAATGGCTTAGCGGTAGCACAGTCGCACTCAACAGCAGGAGTTCGCCGGCGTGCCACCCTGTGCTAGTGCGTTTGGGGGCTGCGCCGGTTCTTGAAATTGGGCAATGTCTCTAGGCTTCGTGGGCTTTGCGCTTTTCTCAAAATAGCCGAGTTCTAATTCAACCGGGCTGGTTTACCCTTTGTTTGCCTCAGGCTGATTTGTTCTTTTCTTTCAGGCTGCTGCTATGTGTCTGGGGATTCGCATTGGGTTTGGGGTGTTGTCTGCAGGCTCTCCTCAGATTTAGGCGGTTTTGCAAGGCCATGTTTTGTTAAAGCAGTCGTGTTCTAATTCTGCTGTTTTGCCTCTTTGCTTCAGGCTGCCAGGTGTCTGGGCATTCGCATTGGGTCCCTGCCTTGGGGGTGTTGTCTGCAAGCTCTCAGCTTTTGTGATTGGGCACCGCTCTGTACTAGTGTGGTGTGTGTGTGTGGCGGCGCGGGGATGGGCTTTATCAGGAAAAAACGCCGTGTTTTTCTTGAACGTCGACTTCCTGAAAGGAAATCCCCGAGTACGGGGCCTTCCATGGGTGACAGCTCATTATCATTCGCCATGAAGCATGCGAGGCGTCGATGAGCTAGTCCACCAAACATGTTCTGCAGGTGCTTCCAATTGAAACACATATGAAGGCACGATCTGAAGCACCCCAAAATTCAACTCAAAAACAAAACGCCATCCTAAAGTTGTTCCTGAGAAAACCTCCCAACAGTTCGCTCTGTGTGCCAATTCCGGGCCCGAGATGGCAAGTGTCCTGTTGCTGTCATGCAAGCGAATTGTCTGAGCGAACTGAGACCCCTTCGTTCTGACAGTCTTAATCCTTTCGCCTCAGTTCAAAGCCCACATGCGGGAAAAGAAACAGAGACCACACACTTCAACTCCCAAGGGAGGATGCTAATCGTTCGAGTACAACTGATGAGTCTCGAGTGGGTCTAGGTTCGGCTCACAGTCACTTGGCTTCCGTCTAGCAGCGAAAACGTTACGCGAAAGAACAAGAAGCACAAACAGCGCCGCAACCAAGGGGCCAAAAAGACATTCAGAATCACGGAAAGCAGGTACGCCGGATTGATCAGATCCGGTATCCCATGACTGAGGTAGCTTCGTTGAGCGCGGTCCCTCAGTCATGCCGCACTCCCCTGCGACAAACATGATCTCGTCGAGAAAGGTGGTGTCAGGGTAAATCTGACACTCCGCACACACACGCCCCTCCAAGAAAGGCGAACAGTCTTTTTGCATCCGGAAGACCAAATGTGACGCTGCCTAGTGTCAACCAAAAAGTCCTCAGCGGCGAGGAGAGCGTGAATTTGCACGCTCTGTACGATGCCGCTCAGAAGGCGGGGACACAGGCTCACCAAATCGAGCAGGAAATAGTCCGCCCCTTTGTCCTGCAGTTGGTGACAAGACTGACGGGAGGAACAGCGAAGATTGATGGGCGGAACTGCCATTGCGTCCAGAGATTTGTTGCCATTGAGGCGAGATGGGTGATTGGCCCACTTGATGAGTGCCCTCGCTGCGGTGGTTGTGGGGGCCTGCTTGAGGAAGACGCGAGGCTGGTCACTGGTGCAGGTGTAGTGCTTGATGAGGTCCTCCGGCGCACTGCTCATTGTGAGCAACTTCGGTCCGGTCTGCTTGACAGGTGGAGGCAACATGCCGTGAAGAGATTGGATGATCCGAGGTTGTTGCTGAGGCGGAACATCGTAGGACTTGCCGTCAAAGGCAGCAGCGCTCACCGTGGGCAAGGAACTGGTGGGAGTGGAAGACTGCGAGTGGTTCACCGGAGGCGGTGTGACCAGTTCCGAATCATCCTTGTGGGTATTGGCCGTAGAGGGAGGCGACGATCGCTGTGGTGCCGAGCACTGCGCTTGGAGAAGCTCATGTTCGCGCTTAAGGTTGTGATACTTCTGCAGCGTGTCATCTTCCGGAGAGTGTGCTTTGATGGATTGGTGGTGTTGGCGCAGGAACTCAAGAACGAGATTGCCCAGGTGCTCATGGACCTTGGTTCGCTGATTGAAGTCGTCAATGTTGAGTCCCATTGATCCTGCAAGGTCCTTCTCCAAAGTGAGCAAGTTGAGAGGCTGGGATCGGCGCAGTAGCTTCGAACAAGTGCTCCAAAGCAAGGCCTCGGTACGAGTGCGAAATCCTTCCCACGTCACAAATCGTCCGTGCGCAAACGGTCGCAGTAGCCAGTTCGAAATGCCGTCGTGGATGACCTGAACCGGGCGAACATCGCGAATGTCCATGCCCGACATGTCGCGGTGCGAATTGTGAGGTGTGGTGGCGACTGTCATGGGTAGTGTGAAGGAATAGAGAGGAGTTCTGTCAAGCAAGCCGTCTCCGGGCTGCCACTCCTCCGGAGCCTTCTTAGGTTGCACTGGTAACGGAGCGGGATGGCCAGTTGCTGCCGCAGGTTCCGGTTGGCGTCCATGTGGGTTATCAGGTAGCACCATCGTCGTCTTCATGGGCTTGACGGGTGCGGGCTCCGGAGGGAACGGCATCATGTAGTTGACCGGAGAGTACATGGTGTCGAATGATGGGCCTGTGCTGGCGGAGGGTGTTGCAGGTAGTTGTTCTGCGACAGCGGAAAGGAACTGGGAGAGCTGTGCTTGTGCTGCCATGTCATCGGGTTGGACCAATCCATGCCGTCCGAGACCGGGGCGGAGTCATATTCTCGTCTGCGAACTTTACGAGTCTGGGAAAGACTCCTGTCTCGCCGGCGTCGAGTTCTGGATCTGTCACGATCATCCCGGCGTGACATGACGGCTCAGCGAACCCAGTAGGTGTACCAACTCCAACTTGAGAAAACTGAGTCAAACAAGATGCAAGTCAACGCAAGATCATGCCATGCTCAAATCAATACAAGGTCAAACGTCACACGGTCAGCACACAGTATCAGAGTTGGTGAGACTTAGCTATGAACTGACGGCTGTCTTCCCTTTAGTGAAACCTCGTTCCTGCTTAAACGTGAAGTTCCGCTGGGCTATGATAAGAGCGTTGAGGTCAAATTTTCCGGCGAGCCGGCCCGGGGTCACACGATGGGTACACCCGAGGTTCCCCCAAGATGGGGTGATCACACTTCAACTCCCAAGGGAGGATGCTAATCGTTCGAGTACAACTGATGAGTCTCGAGTACAACTGATGAGTCTCGAGTGGGTGTAGGTTCGGCTCACAGTCACTTGGCTTCCGTCTAGCAGCGAAAACGTTACCCGAAAGAACAAGAAGCACAAACAGCGCCGCAACCAAGGGGGCCAAAAAGACATTCAGAATCACGGAAAGCAGGTACGCCGGATTGATCAGATCCGGTATCCCATGACTGAGGTAGCTTCGTTGAGTGCGGTCCCTCAGTCATGCCGCACTCCCCTGCGACAAACATGATCTCGTCGAGAAAGGTGGTGTCAGGGTAAATCTGACACTCCGCACACACACACACACAAAATACCCTTCCTCCCACAAAAACGGAAGTTTGCAAAGCGAAATCCTCGAGGGATTCCAAACCCCTCCTTTTTGAACCCCCTCCCCATGTTTCCCCATAATAAGACCTTATTCAGGAGTTTTGCCAATGCTGCGCACCGTTGAACTGACTATTGAGATGTTTGGTACACCCATCTGGCTACAATGAGGCCTTAGGAGAAACCAACTCCGTATCACCGAAAGTGGCAACCCAAAACCCGATTCTCCACATAAAGGGCTCGCTTTGTTTGAGGGTTCCCCAGTTCTTTGGATTTCAAGGGAAACCAAAGGCAATTTGGTGTCCCCTGCAAAAAGACGAGCCACGCACAATAATGAAAATGGGCCAAGGTGGGCTTGGCAAATCAAAGCCTTCGACCGTCGCCTGCGGCGGCCGCGGTGCTTCGGGAGTTGGAAGCCATCCTCAGCACGCAAAAAATGCGACTGGGTGGGCCCAAGAGTGTTGATGCCCACCTCGAAATTGACGTCTGAAGCATTTGTGTTTGCTTTGCGTGTGGATGTTGTTGTTTTTCTTCATTTTTACGTTTGATTCAAAGGGTACCCTTGCACTTTGGTTTCAAGGGAAACTGACAAGAAACCGCCCATGTTTGGGGTCCTTTGAGATAAAGATATCCAAAAAACGAAAGCCCCGACCGGAGCCGCGTAGGCTTCCCTGGCTTGCTCTCCAAAGGAAGATTTTGCTCGCAGCAACGCGTACTCAGGGTTTCCGGATTTCGACACCCACAAGCGCGGCACTGCCCAAAGCATGCGCCACTTCGGATTCAAAAAGGATCATACTCATCAGCGATGGATTTGTTGTGTCGCACCCTGGAGTTTCCCCGCCCGTTTGCCGTAGTTGGTATCATTTCGAAGCAAACCCTCGCTACTTGAGCTGGTTTGGGCAGTCTCCGGTGTCATACAAAAACCCATAGATCTACTTAGGGACGCACCGTAGCCAACATTGTATGCTAGTGCTTTCCCGTTATTGTGGGAGTTCCTGCCTGTAGGCGTAAGAATTTGGGGCACGTAACCAGCGCCACATAATCATGTCAGCAACATAAGTTGGGTGTTGCACAACCGGTTTATCTTTGCAGTCGAAAAGAAGTTCCCCGTGTATAGGGAAAAAAAAGGCCAACTCGCACTGAATCTGCAAACTGGCCATGGTTCGCAAAGGACGGCAAATTCGGACGCTGGAAACCCGAGCCCAACGCAGCCTGAAATGTCTGCAATCACCACGTCGGCTTCTCTTCAGGGTCGCAGTGGATGGTGATTGGCGAGCAAACGTGAGCCAACAATATGGGGTCCAAAAGTTCTGGCGAATCATCCAAGTCTATCTTCCGAAGCTTGAAAAGCTTGTCAATGCAACACGTGTCGCCTTAGTCAAGCACCCGTGCCCCAAACACAACTGCCACCAGGACCGGACTGACACAAGTCGCCCAGTGACCAACTCGCAGCCGAGGCTCGTAAAATGTAAACAAAAAAATTAAGAGGAGAAACTGCCGGCAAAATGTAGCTGTCTATATGACACAGCCGCACGAGCTTCCCTGAGCCCAAATGACCCACAGGCGCTTCACAAGCTGACTTTTGCAGTGGTTGCATCACGCCAGCCACCTGGCACTTCCGAAAGAGAGGAAGCCGGAAGCCCTTTTTGAATGGTGCTAGCAGGGCGACAAGTGCAAAACCAAAACAACCCATGTGTACGATTGCCCTCCTCGGAATTACCTTGGCGAGCCTTCAACGCTCGAAGGCCCTGTGCCCGGTGCCTGGCAACTCAATAGCCCTTGCGTGCCTTGGCATGTATGCAATTGCACATAGAAAACAACGACATTGGTCAGCACCGTTCACATTCTGGAACCCAACAGAAACATCGCCGCATCGGCTTGTCACGCAAGCGACAGCATACCTTAAAAGGCAAGCAGTCGTGACATAGAGTGTGATTGGCTCTCAGCAGACATTTATCAGATCTGCCTTCCAAAGATGCGAGTTGCAGAACCCACGAGATAAATGGTGTGTTCCATCCGCAGTACCGGAAGCACTAGAAAAACATCAAGCAATCGTTTTGGATGCGTAAATGATGTAGCTGTGCACACTGCACCATACGTCAGTTGCTTCTCGAAAAGAAAAAAAAGAAAAAAGAAAAAACAAGCAAAACATGTGTGTTCCGTCCATGGATCGGCTGTAGCAGCTCCTTCATCTTCCGTTCCCACGTGGGTATGTGTCACTCAAAATGGCGGCTTTCCTTTTCGTCAAAGGGTGCCAAGCGTAAACAAGACAAACAAACATGTGTTTTTGCAAATCCAGCGAGCGCAAATCGCACCTTCCTCCACAGACTCGGAAAAACAATGAGAGGAAAATGTCCCTCACCCGCCCAAAGATTATAACGCTCACATTTTCCGCTCGAGTCTGCTAGTCTGCCCCGCAGCTTGCCAAACTCAGCGGCCTGCGGCGGATGCAACTGCCGGGTGTCTCTTTGTTGAGGGTACTCTCTTGGGGGTTGTTTTGTTTTTTCGCCAGCATCCCCCGTTGTGGCCAAACCCAACCGCGGGGTGTGGCTCAACTGGCCTCTTCAATGTTGACGTTCTGCAGTTCTGCTGAAGCTCTTGCACCAAAAAGTGTGGTGGCAAGCCTAGAAGGAGCCCATTTAGCTTCGCAACAACGAGTCACCACAAGCGATGCGCACTCGGTTGTCATGTCACAATGTGAAGCCCGGATCAACCCTGGACTAGCAAACCTGACGGATGAAAAAGAGGCGCTTTCCACATGAAGAATCCCTAATTTTCTGCCCATCGGAGTCAAGATCAACATGCGCCCAGCCGCCTCCATTTTTGCATCGTCAAGCCACTTTGCCTGCCACCGCTGGAGACAGCGAAGGGCTTGTGGCAGGTGTGGCTTGAGGACTGATCATTGACTGACCGAACTATGCAACTCAACAATCTGCCCTCTTTCCAATTCAAGCGGTCAGGAGACAGGAGGCTAAGACTCCCGTCCATTGAAAAGGCCAGCTGTCCACTTCCACTACTGCAAAAATGGTAAACACGTAACGCCACGTCATCGCAAAACTGAATCATATACACTCTCCCCCTAGCCGTACCGAATACTTGTCCTCGTGCGAATATGTTGTTTGAGGAACCCGTTCGGGGAAGCCAACAAAACACACCACTTTGTCCCCCATCTGAACTCCTGACACAATTCGTTGTTTCCGCAAACGGACATGGAAGAGTTGGGTATTCCCCCTGACGGTGTGGAAAACTTGCCGCCCTATGTCCTCCCCGCACCAACGCTATACAACTGAATCTTGTCCGTTGCTCATTTCCCAATTTGAAACAAACCCACAACGCCCTTCGCCTCACTGCGAGGACGCCCTCAAAGGCGAAGCAGTGTAATTCGCCCAGTCACCCCACGCGCTGCCAGTCAATCCATCCTGCAGGCGGTGTATGCAACCCAAACCTAGTATCTCAACTATTTATCATACCCCTTTCATACCACATACGATTGGTGGTAGTAAAAGGATCAAGGCTCCATCAGAGTTTTGGTAAGCAGAGTCTATTTCCCAATAGCAATTTGGTGAGTATGGCCAGAGCGCCCCATGTCAGCCCTGTTACTACAGTAGATAATGTTGAACATGGGTATGCGTCAAATAGCGGAACCCCAAAAATGTGGTCTCCCTTCAACCAGCCTGAAGAAGGTGCCCTCAAAACAAAATCTTGCTCGTACAAAGGAACTGGAATGGCAACCGCTTTATCCCTGCGTGGGCATGTTCTTTACTAGCACACATTGTGGGTTTGACCCCTGGCTCCCCTAGTAGGAACATGTACAATAGTCGTCCAGACCATCCCTAAGTTGATGACCATAGAAGACCATCCGACCGACCTCGTCGAGTCTTTTGACCATGGCACCGCAAATGTTGCGCGAACCACGCTCAGTGCAAGAGCCGCTCCCACAGTTGCGAACAGAAAGGGACTCCAGACCGGCAAGGTTCGGAAGGAATCGAACCTAAAAGCCTTGGGTTTATTTGTGCGTAGTTGGTCTTATCTTATGTTTTGTGTGTTTGTTCATTTAGTTGTGTTGGGGGGAGGTTGTTGACTTCCACTGTTCCACCGGAAAGACGTCTGCCTCGGGAGATTCTATCCGCTTTGCCTGAATCGTTCTCTGATGGTGTGTCCGTCCGCCAAACATTGCTGTCTGAACAAGCGTAACCTTATACAAGAACGATGTTGTTCCTGCACGAATCACCTAAATGTGCGTGGCACATGACAAAATGCATCGAATCCTGCATTGCCAACAGTAATAATATAGGAGAATAAGGGTGTTGACACTGTTTCTCTCAGAATGTTCAAAGTGCGTGCGTCACACTAGCTGACACGGAATTGCAGAAAACAGCACGCATATTGGAACAAAACGGAACACGTCCGCATACCCGAAACGTACCCAGCTATAAACAAATCACGCGTACTCTCTGCATCCATCATCCTGGAAAAACATGCCGATGATGGCCATCATCGCAAGTCTTCCGTTGGCCAACTCGGCCGCTAGCTTCGTCTTCTTCGCCTCCGGGTCAGAGGCAGTCAGCACCTTGAATCCGAAGTCACCCGCCGCAGCAGGAGTTCCCGCCGACTGGTCCTGGGACACCTCGCAGAAGGCCATGTAAGCCAAGATCTGACCCCACCCAGCGGCAGGAACTTTGGAAATTGCAGCCAGGCCATTGGGCACGTCGGCGAACTTCAGACCAGCGGAAGGGCTCAAATAGCCCGGGAATTTCCCAGTGATCTCGGGGGTAATGTATCCCATTGTAGCCTTGGTCAATGTTGAAACCCAAAGCTTATTACCCGTAAACATGTTTGGGCGCCATCATAATAGCACAAGGAAAAAGAAAACAAGATGTTACTGAACCTCGATCAAGCGGCGAGCATGGAAATTCGACCATGCTTCAGCTCCGTCTGGCGACGTCGGGCGAAGTTCTCAGCGCTGCCGTCGGCCGTGAACCCTGCCGGGTCCCAGAACCCCACCGGTGCTTGCACTCCAAGCTCGTTTTCGAAGGCACGCAAAGGCGAAGCGGTGTAGTTGGCCCAGTCACCCCAAGCGCTGCCGGTGAGACCATCCTCTGCACAAGAACCGCTTCATGCAAAAAATACCGAAAAACGAGCAAGCAATAATGCAAGCAAGCCAACAGATTCTCTGCCAAGATAACGCACCCATGTAACCAATCCAGCAAGCAAACCAAGGACCGAACAACTCGTTCACAGACAAGTAGCAACAAGCAAACTAACTAACAGACAGACAGACAGACAGACAGACAGACAGACAGACAGACAGACAGACAGACAGACAAACAGACAGACAGACAGACAAACAGACAAACAGACAAACAGACAAACAGACAAACAGACAGACAGACACACAAACCAGGCAAACAAATAAACAAACAGACAGACAGACAAACAAACAAACAAACAAACAAGCAGACTAAACAAATCAAAACGAGCAACAAAACGCAAACCAACACACAAACTTACAAATAAAGCAACAAAAAAGACACCCGGACAAGCAAACAAAGGACAAAACAAAGAAACGATCAAACAAAACAAACAAAACAAGCAAAACCGGCAAATATAAGGACAACGATGAAAAACAAAAAGAAAAATCAAAAAATCGAGCTACCATTCATCACAGCAAGCACGCAAGCAAACAGGCGAAATAACTTACTTACTTACCTACTGCGAACTGGAGGTTGCAGCCTGCATTGGTGACACATGTGAAACATTGCTGACATTGTGTGCTTGAGCATTGTGCGGTAATGGTTGCGTGGCAATGGGTATTGAAGTTTTGCGCCACAGTCTCCGCCTAAACCCGGGGCGGCGCTGTGTCAGGGAGTTCCAAGACCCGCTGTGGAGGGCCGGCTCTCGCGAGGTATATTGGCACACCTGAGGCTTACGGCCATGATCGCTGGCACGTCTTGCAAAAAATCCATCAAGGCCCTTGATTGTTATGGTCTTCTTTTGTTTCCTATTCCACACTATTTGTTGAGCACCTGCTTCAAATGTTGCTCAGCCTCATCAAGCTTGTACGTAGCCTGCGCCCGGCCTGGCTGTGTCAGCCACTGCTCCTCTGTCGCAGCTGCGCTTTCGCATGTCTTCTTCAAGATTGTTAAGCACACCTGTTCGCCGGCCACATTTACAACAAAACACTCCCGCCCCACCTGGGACTGGGCGAATAAGGTGTCCCCGGCGCTCTGCCGGTTGCAGGTTGGGTTAGGCCTATTGCCAGCGCCTGCTGGCTGCAAGCCAGCCACATCCTTGGCCGCACTCCAGTCAGCGACGCGCTGAGGCCACGGTGACCAGCGTGGACTGAACAGCACGGAGCTGCTCCTGACGTTCATGGTCTTGGGCACCAGAGTGGTGCGTTGAAAACAAATCGGCAATCGATGCAAGGGCGCTGGCAGCGCCTGCAAGGCAGGCGCCCGCAAAGACTGCAAAAGTGGGCACTCCCAACTTACATGCTGGAGATTTAGCAAACCGCCACACTGACAAACCCGGCTTCCTGCGGTGTCTGTGATCTCTTTCAGGTCCATTAATCCGCCATGTCGCAGAATTTTCAACTTGGGTCGTGGATCGTTTCCGGGTCTGTCAACAGCCGGCTCCGAGTCCTTTATTGATGCCCTGCGCCACCTAGTGCTGCAGGCGGCCCCGAGCAAGAGCCTTCCAGGTCTGCAATTGCCATCTCTCACGAAGGTGGTGTTGCCAACCGTGGCCTCCACTGTTGACCTGAAAACTTTATCACTGAGAAGCTGTTTGGCCCCGGCCTGCGGGCCGTCATGCGACCTGTTTGATTATATACTAATTCCTCAAATTCTGCTGTATTGTCCTGTGCGCGCAAAGCCCTCTGCAAGAGACGGGTTGCCAAGAGTTGAAAAACAAAATGCGTCGATCGCCATGGGCGAGGCACTGTAACAAGTCGCATTTAATAGAGTCGGGTCCCAGAAGTAGTGTGGTCTTGTGTTAGCAGCGCGGCACGCAGCCGCAGGGCAAAATTCAACCGACCCCTGTGCGCGGGAGCGCTGCATGTGAACTGTAGAAGGGCGCACTCATGTCGCCGCCCCCAGGCTTCGTATCGTTGAATCATGGCCTGGCAACGTTTGCGGCAGCTGGACACTGTGGTTGGAGGTTCCAACACATCCGGCTGTTGCATCTCAAGCGCCAGCCAAGTAGGCGGGTCATGTGGTGATGGTTTGAGGCGACATTCGGCGCGGGTAAAGTTGACATGGTGACCAGGTCCATCGCCCGTCACAGCTACTGCAATAGATCTCACCATATGTGGCCAAACCCCCATCTGCCAGTTCCAGTCAATGAATCTGGTCGGCGGCGATGCCTGTGATCGTGCAGGGACACTAGGCCGCCTGTGAGAAGCAACCGCAATGTCTAAAATCGCGGTCTTGGATCTGCAGCTGCATCAGGCTCAACCGCAAGACCTTGGTCGAGGAGAAATTGAAGTTTGCCTCTTTGGTCCATTTTGACACTAACGCGGCGGTAAGCTTGAGCTGCACTCCGCGGCTGGCACCCGCAAAGTCTTGAGGGCGGTCTCTCACCAAGTTTTTCCATGCCTGTGAGCGCCACCGCTCACGGAGCTGATGCTGCCAGTCTGGCTGCAGAGGCTGGTAGTTAGCAAGGGCATGGACCACGCGCCGAAACACCGGGTCCTTGTGGAGCTGGCGTGCTCGAGCGCGCGGGCCGTCAGTGGGCCAGTCAGGATCTGTAAGCTGGAAGCGCAACTCACCTGCTTGCTGGGCCGTCTGCGCTGCGCGAACAAGAAGCCAAGCTCCAAGCTCGGCGGTGCCAGGAGCGCAACGAGCACCTGTGGCGAGGCTGAGTAAGAGGTCTCATTCAGCAAGCAGCGCACCACTGTGGCGCGCATTCCACACATCACATCGCGGTTGGCAGCACCCAAGTCAGCTGACCTGACAACCTTTGCAGCCAGGTGACCCGTGTGAACCCACCGACCGGCAGGTCTTCCAAGCGTCAGCTTTCTGCTGCTCCAAGTCCGTCCGGTCCGCTCGCCAAGCTTCACTTGAAGGCCTGTCGGCGCTGACCTAAGAATTCTCGGAGCTGCCCGGAGGGCATCGCCAATACAAGCGTCGAGTGTGTCGGAAGAGAAGGACAGCCTGAGAGAGGAGGCGCGCTTCGTAGCAGCATGCCAGAGCCGAGAAAAAGCGTGCGGCCACACGCCCCAACAGGAAGGCATGAGGTGCTTGAGCAAAGATGATGTCATACCCTTGGTCTCTCATTTTAGATGCAAGGGCTGCGAGACTGAAAGAGGTATGCCGGGCTTCCTGCAGACCAAACATGTCAGGAAAGTCATGGATTAAAACAGCGTTATGCGTAAGGCTAGTGACATTGCACGAGGCAACGGAAAGCAAAGCGCGCACCCTAGGCGAAGGCTGGGGAACATGAGGCAACTGCACAATATCACAAACACCCGCAGCAGCGGGCTCGCTGAGCAAGTGCGGCGCAATAAGCACGGGGCGGGCCTGCACAGGCAAGGCCGCATCATACTGAATGCCATTGTAAGCAACCCACAGCGGTTGCGCGCCGATGGCGCCGGCATGCGCAGGCAAGGTGAAGGCAAGGGCACAAAGGGTCAAGTGCCCCAAGATGAGGGGCGAGACACGCGGGTTAAACGGCTCCACGGCTGACGGCAACCCCTTGTTAGGTTACGGCAGCGTAGCAAGGTACTACTACACCGCTTTGCCTTTGCGCGCCTTTGAAAACGAGCTTGCCGTGCCATTTGCTTGCGCCCTCCTTTATGGCGCTTCATCTCTGCGCGCGCGATCTATGTCTGGGGGTGCTGCGCCTGGCCGCCCCCGGCCCCGCGGTACGCTATCTCGCGCTGAGCCATGGGGTCCGGTGGACGCCTTCCTTGCCGGCCTTGGTCTTTTCCGGTCGCATGTCCTCGGAGATGGGAATTGCCAGTTTCATTCCATTTCATCCCAGTGTGGAATCTCGCATGTCGAGCTCCGGCGTCTTGCTGTTGAGCATATCCGTTCCAACCCTCTTGCCTTCTGCGACTTCATTGCCAATAACGATCTTGCATCCTATTCATCCGGAAGAGGGTGAAGCCAAATTGTCGAATCAGTGCCTGATTGTGTTTTCCGCCTAAGGCGGAACCGTGGTTTATCATCAGCGTGGTTGGAACTGGAAGTCGGGGCACAACGATCCCATGAATGCCTTCAGGTTCCTGCGTGCGACTTGTTTGCCACAAACGGCACAGCACGGGCTGAGAATGTCTTTGATGATGCGCTTACCAAGCTGAGAAGCAGTTTCGTTACGCTTGTCAACGGCTTGGCGAAGTTCATCTGTCCTTGCTTTTGATAGCGTAGGTGCACGAGTGGTGGATCCCTTTTTATCTGCAAGAGTGGAATCGTAGGGCATTGATTGTTGGCAAAACGAAGCCCGTGGTATCTGTGCACTGAGACTTTGCAAAAGCGACAAGTGGGCTTGTCGGCATTTTCCACAAAGCGCCGCCCTTCTTTCTCCACAGTTTGCTTTGGCTCGTGCAACTGCGTCGTCCCTTGCTGTGTGTGCTTTACAGCACGTTTGGCTCCTCTGCTCAAGGGTGCGTTGTTCTCGTCGATTTCTTGGAAGAGTTGTTGAACCCGCTAGTGGTGAAAGGTCCAAAGCTCTGCCTTTTTCCCTTGAACGGGATGACCACTTTGTAGAGGCCGGTTTTTACGTTGTTCTGGACGAAGGGAAGATTTGGACCGCCGGGTGCGACCACGCGGCGCAGTGCCAGAAAAGGTGGAGATGGTCCTCATGCGCGGACCAACAGAATGGACACACCGGGCGGTCGGTCTGAGTGTACATGGCACACGCAAGTGTTGAACGAAGAACGCCGCGGTCATATTCGTTCGTTCGGCTGCGTAGGAGTTGGAGGGTTGTGGCTTTGTCGACGCCATTCTGTGTGCCACGAAGTTCCTTTCTATTGGCCGCGGCGCGTGTCCAGAGCATGTGAGAGCTAATATGTGAGTAGTATTCGCGGAGCGTTCCAACACGTGTGACATGATGTGTTGGCCATGGCCCAAGGGGGAGAACCAGGTCCAGCCCATGACGTTGCAAGCATCTCGAATGTTGCCATGCGTGTTGGCTGAGAGGTGCCAGAGATGTAGCCACTGCGGGAAGAGCCCGGGGTTTTTCAAGAGCTGCCGGCGGGCAGTTGTGAAGGGGGCAATAACTGTAGTTGCGTCGGATCAAACTTATGTCCTTTATGACAGAGCGAAAGGACGATGTCGGCTGACTTTCTGTCGCGGCCCCGCCAGATGGCTTTGAGCACCACGTTGCGGAGTTGTTTCAATCTTTTTGTCACACGGGCCAAGCTCGAGGCCAAAGTTGAGTTCATTCTCTCTGGCCGCGATGTTGAGTGGACAAATCGAGCTGCGCTCTGCCGTGGCGATGTAACTTTTGGCACGGCTGTTGGCAAGGAAGCGCGCTCTACTCTTGGTAAAGGAGAACTGCCCACCCAAGAGCCGATCGTCCGGGACTTGTTTGATCTGTTGCCCGCGGAGGTTGATGTCAGTGAGCCGTTTTCTTCCTGAGGTGGTGGTAGCAAAAAACACCGTTTTGTCTGGATTGACAATGGCGTCGATATGGTCGTCGAAATTCGCTGTGAAATTGATGGTCTCTTGTAGCGTTCTCGCATTTTTTGTCGTCGATGAAGGCGAAGCGGTGTAGTTGGCCCAGTCACCCCAAGCGCTTGCGACCGCACTTATTTTGTTCCACATGCGTCGGCTCATTATTGAGAGAGGTGGACTCTTCCATGTCGGTGCTGGTCCCTCGGATTGGCTCGCGGGCGCACAGAGCGCCGCTGCCTGTGTTGCAACTGACTTGTGCGCCCATTTTGCTGCTTGTCTCGGTGTTCCACGAGATCTCCTGCTGCGCAAGAATCACTTCATGCAAAACAAACAGCAAAAACAACAAGGAATACTGTAAGCAAACCCACGGATTCTCTACCAAGGTAACACAGCCGGATGCTACCAAACCAGCAAGCGAACCAAGGACCGAACAACTCAAACAAATCAAAGCCAAGTAGCAAACAAGCAAACAAACAAACAAGCCAACAAACCAACAAACCAAACAAACAAGCAAACAAACAAACATACAAACAAACACACAAACAAACAAACAAACAAACAAACAAACAAACAAACAAACAAACAAACAAACACACAAACACACAAACAAACAGCCACACAAACTGGGCAAGCAAGCAAGAAAGCAAGCAAACAAACAAACAAACAAACAAACAAACAAACAAACAGCCACACAAACAGACAAACAGACAAACAAACAAAACAAAACGAGCAACAGAACGCAAACTAACAAACAATCAAACTAACAAATAAAGCAAAAAACACACAGACAGACAGACAGACAGACAAACAAACAAACAAGAAAACAAATAGACAATCAAACAAAGCAGACAAAACAAGCAAAGCCGGCAAAAAAAGAACAAAAAAACAAGTGCATCACAGAAAGCAAGCGAGCAAACGAGCAACCAAACATGCATTCAAACAAACAACCGAACAATCAAGCAAGCAAGCAAGCAAGCAAACAAACAAACAAACAAGCTAACCAACTAACTAACTAACTAACTAACTGACTGACTGGCTAACAGACCAACAACCGAACAAACAAACAAACAAACAAATAAACGAGCAAACAAACAAACCAACAAACAAACAAATAAACGAGCAAGCAAACAAACAAACAAACAAACAAACAAACAAGCAAGCAAGCAAACAAACAAACAAACAAATAAGCAGACAGACAGACAGACAAACAAAACAAGAATAACAAGCAAAAAGATAGCAGGCCAACAAGCAACTAAGCAAACAAACAAGTAATTAACAAACACATCAAACCCAGCAACGAAACGAGAAAAACATGAGAAAAACAGACAGACAGACAGACAGACAGACAGACAGACAAACAGACAGACAGGCAGGCAGACAGACAGACAGCCAGCCCAGACAGACAGACAAACAAGAAAGCAAGAACACAAGAAAACAACAAAAACCAGAAAACAAGAGAGTAAACACAAACACACAAAGATTAGCCTGCCCCAGTGAATGCTGTTGTGTTGCTAAGCACACCGGTAAATGCGCATGCAAAATAACAGTGCCAAATGCGCAGCGGCTTGCGAGTAAACATGTTTACCACATGTCAGACTTCGCACGTCTCTCCAACTTTCTGTCATCACTCACCAAGCCTGGAAAAACATGCCGATGATGGCCATCATCGCAAGTCTTCCGTTGGCCAACTCAGCCGCTAGCTTCGTCTTCTTCGCCTCCGGGTCAGAGGCAGTCAGCACCTTGAATCCGAAGTCACCCGCCGCAGCAGGAGTTCCCGCCGACTGGTCCTGGGACACCTCGCAGAAGGCCATGTAAGCCAAGATCTGACCCCACCCAGCAGCAGGCACTTTCGAAATCGCAGCCAGGCCATTGGGCACGTCGGCGAACTTCAGACCAGCGGAAGGGCTCAGATAGCCCGGGAATTTTCCGGTGATCTCCGGGGTAATGTATCCCATTGTAGCCTTGGTCAATGTTGAAACCCAAAGCTGGATAATAACTGTAAACATGTTCGGACGCCATCGTTTTTATACAAGGCAAAGATGTAAGATATTACTGAACCTCGATCAAGCGGCAAGCATGGAAATGCGACCATGCTTCAGCTCCGTCTGGCGACGTCGGGCGAAGTTCTCAGTGCTACCATCGGCCGTGAACCCTGCCGGGTCCCAGAACCCCACTGGTGCTTGCACTCCAAGCTCGTTTTCAAAGGCACGCAAAGGCGAAGCAGTGTAGTTGGCCCAGTCACCCCAAGCACTGCCAGTGAGACCATCCTGCATGCTGCACAAGAATCTCTTCATGCAAGACGTACCGGAAAAACAAACAAGTAATACTGTAATGCAAGCAAATCAACAGGTTCTCTACCAAGGCAACACAGCCGGATGTTACCAAACCAGCAAGCAAACCAAGGACCGAACAACTCAAACAATGCACAGACAAGTAACAAACTAATTGACGAACACAAACAAACAAACAAACAAACCAAACAAAGGAATACAACACAACACAACGAAACATAACATAAGACAACAAAAAGAACACAACACAACTCGACACGACACAACAACTACTCTACAAACAAACAAGCAAGCAAGAAAGAAAACAAACAAACAAACAAACAGTTCATGATAGTGTGAAAAAAAGACAAGCAAACAACAACACCACCAAACAAACAAACCATCAAACAAAGCGGCAAACACAAGCAAAGCCAGTAAACAAACCAAGCCCGGCAAGCAATCATAACAGCAAGCACGAAAGCAAACAAGCACGCACGCACGCATTCAAAACAAAAGCGAACAAACAAACAAACAAACAAACAACAAACAAAGGAATACCACACAACACAACGAAACATAACATAAGACAACAAAAAACACAACACAATAGGACACAACACAACAACTACTCTACAAACAAAAAACAAGCAAGAAAGAAAACAAACAAACAGTTTATGACAATGTTGAAAAAAGACAACAAAACAACAACAACACCAAGCAAACAAACCATCAAACAAAGCGGCAAACACAAGCAAAGCCAGTAAACAAACCAAGCCCGGCAAGCAATCATAACAGCAAGCACGAAAGCAAACAAGCACGCACGCATGCATTCAAAACAAAAGCGAACAAACAAACAAACAAACACGCAAACACACAACCACACAAACGCACAAACAAAAATACATTCATTGCATTACATGACATTACATCACATCACATCACATTACATTACATACATACAATACAATGCGTGCATACACAAATACATTCACACGCATACTTACATACATACATACATATTACAATACATTACATTACATTACATTACATTATATTACGTTACATTACGTTGCACTACATTACATTACATTGCATTACGTTACATTGAATTACCTACATACACACATACATACATACGTACATACTTACAATACATGATGTACATTACGTTACATTACCTTAACTTACCTTATCTTACTTTACATTACATTAAATTACATTACATTGCACTACATACATTGCATTCACACATACATACATACATTCATACGTACATACATACAAGCGTACATACGTACATACGTACATACGTACATACGTACGTACGTACATACGTACATACGTACATACGTACATACGTACATACATACATACATTACATACATACATTACATACCTACCTACATCCATAGATACATACATAAATTACATACATTACATACATACAAACATACATACACACATACGTACATACATATATGTAATGTATGTATGTATGTCTATATGTATGTATGGATGTGTGTATGTATGTATGTATGTGTATGTATGTGTGTATGTAGTGTATGTATGTACGTATGTAATGTAGTAATGTAATGTATGTATGTATGTGTGCATGTATGTATGTATGTATGTATGTATGTATGTATGTATGTAGGTAATGTATGTATGTAATGTATGTATGTATGTATATAATGTCATGTATGTATGTATGTAAGTATCCAATGTATGTATTGTTTGTCATGTATGAAATTTCTGTACGTGTGTATGTAAGTGTGTATGTGTGTATGTATGTATGTATGTACGCATGCACGTATGTACGTATCTACGTATGTACAGATCTACGTGTGTACGCATACATACGTACATACACACATACGTACGTACATACATACATACAATACATACTTACATACATTACATTACATTGAACTACAGTACATTACAGTACATTACATTGCATGCATACATACATACAGACCTACAAATATTGCATACGTACATTACAGTACATTACATTACATTACTACATTACATTACATTGCATACAATGCATGCATTCCACGCATTCATTCATTCATTCATTCATTCATTCATTCACTCATTCATTCATTCATTCATGCATGCATGCATACATACATACATACATTACAATATATACATACATACATTACATTACATTACATTACATTACATTGCATACATACATACACACATACATTCCATTACATACATACATACATACATACATACATACATACACACACACATACATACATACATACATACATACATACATACATACATACATACATACATACATACATACATACATTACATACATACATACATACATTACCTACATACATACATACATACATGCACACATACATACATACATTACATTACATTACATTACCTACACACGTACATACATACACTACATACACACATACACACACACATGACATGACATAACATAATATCACAATTCATCACATTACACTACATAGAATTATACATACATTACACGCATTACATACATACATACATACATACATACAACCATACATACATACATACATACATTACATACATACATACATACACACATTCATACATGCATACATACATACAATGCAAACATTACATTACATACAGTACATCACATTACAATACATTGCAGTACAATACCTTACATTGGACTGCATTGCATTACATTACACTACACTACATTACGTGACATTACACTGCATACATTGCATTCACACATACATACATACATACATACCTGCACGCATGCATTACATTACATGGCACTACATACATTGCATTCTCACATACATACATACATACATACGTACATACGTACATACATACATACGTACATACGTACATACGTACGTGCGTACATACGTACATACGTACATACGTACATACATACATTACGTACCTACCTACCGTACATACATACATGCATTACATACATTACATACATTGCATTACATTACATTTCATTACATTACATTACATTACATACATACATACATACAGTCAATACATACAGACATACATACAGACATACATACCTACACACATGTATACGTACGTACGCACATACATAATTACATGTATGCATACATACATACATACATAAATAGATACATACATACATACCTACATACATACATACATGACATACATACATTACCTACATACATACATACATACATACATACATTACATTACATTACATCACATTACATTACATACATGCATACATATATACATACACACATACATTACATTACATTACATTACACTACATACATACATACATACATACATACATACATACATACATTACATACATACATACATACATACGTACACACACATACATATATACATACGTACGTACGTACATAAATATATATGTAGTGTATGTATGTATGTATGTATGTGTAGGTAGTGACGTATGTATGTATGTATGTACGTACGTATGTCTGTAATATGTTTATGTATGCATGCATGTATGTATGTGTGTATGTAATGTATGTAATGTATGTATGTGTGTGTATGTATGTATGCATGCATGCATGTAAGTATCTATGTACTTACGTACGTATGTGTGTCTGTGTGTATGTAACGCGTGTCATGTAATGTAATTTCTATATGTATGTATGTAGAGGGAGGTAGATAGGTAGGTAATGTATGTATGTATGTATGTACGTATGTACGGATCTACATATGTACGCATGCATCCATACATACATACACACATACGTGCGTACATACATACATACATTGCATACATACATTACATTGCATTACATTACATTACAATACATTACAATACATCACATTACATTACATTACATCACATTACATCACATTACATACATACATGCATACCATACATACATACATACATACATACCTTACACTACATTAGATTACATTACATTACATTACACTACATTACATTACATACGTTACATACATACATACATTCATACATACATACATAGATGCATACATACATACATACATACATTACATACATACATACATACCATACATACATACATACATACATACATGCATTACATACATACATACATACATGCGTTGCATTGCATTGCATTTCATTACATTACACTACGTGCACGCATACATACATACATACAGTACATTACCATACATACATACATACATTACATTACATTACAATACATTACATTACATTTCACGACACTACACTACATTACATTACATACATTACATACATTACATACATACATACATACATACATACATACATACATACATACATACATACATACATACATACATACATACATACATACACACATACACATACATACATACATACATACATACATACATACATACATACATACATACATACATACATACATACATACATACATACATACATACATACATACATACATACATACATACATACATACATACATACATACATACATACATACATACATACATACATACATACATTACATACATACATACATACATACATACATACATACATACATACATACATACATTACATACATACATACATACATACATACATACATACATACATACATACATACATACATACATTACATACATTTTACATACATACATACATACATACATACATACATACATACATACATACATACATACATACATACATACATACATACATACATACATACATACATACATACATACATACATACATACATACATACATACATACATACATACATACATACATTACATTACATTACATACATACATACATACATACATACATACATACATTACATACATACATACATACATACATACATACATACATACATACATACATACATACATACATACATACATACATACATACATACATACATACATACATACATACATACATACATACATACATACATACATACATACATACATACATACATACATACATACATACATACATACATACATACATACATACATACATACATACACATACATACATACATACATACATACATACATACATACATACATACATACATACATACATACATACATACATACATACATACATACATACATACATACATACATACATACATACATACATACATACATACATACATACATACATACATACATACATACATACATACATACATACATACATACATACATACATACATACATACATACATACATACATACATACATACATACATACATACATACATACATACATACATACATACATACATACATACATACATACATACATACATACATACATACATACATACATACATACATACATACATACATACATACATACATACATACATACATACCATACATACATACATACATACATACATACATACATACATACATACATACATACATACATACATACATACATACATACATACATACATACATACATACATACATACATACATACATACATACATACATACATACATACATACATACATACATACATACATACATACATACATACATACATACATACATACATACATACATACATACATACATACATACATACATACATACATACATACATACATACATACATACATACATACATACATACATACATACATACATACATACATACATACATACATACATACATACATACATACATACATACATACATACATACATACATACATACATACATACATACATACATACATACATACATACATACATACATACATACATACATACATACATACATACATACATACATACATACATACATACATACATACATACATACATACATACATACATACATACATACATACATACATACATACATACATACATACATACATACATACATACATACATTACATGACATACATTACATACATACATACATACATACATACATACATACATACATACATACATACATACATACATACATACATACATACATACATACATACATACATACATACATACATACATACATACATTACATTACATACATACATACATACATACATACATACATACATACATACATACATACATACACACATACTTACATACATACATACATTACATACATACATACATACATACATACATACATACATACATACATACATACATACATACATACATACATACATACATACATACATACATACATACATACTTACATTACATTACATACATACATACATACATACATACATACATACATACATACATACATACATACATACATACATACATACATACATACATACATACATTACATACATAGCATACATACATACATACATACATACATACATACATACATACATACATACATACATACATACATACATACATTACATTACATTACATTACATACATACATACATACATACATTACATACATACATACATACATACATACATACATTACATACATACATACATACATACATACATACATACATACACATACATACATTACATACATACATACATACATACATACATACATACATACATACATACATACATACATACATACATACATACATACATACATACATACATACATACATACATACATACATACATACATACATACATACATACATACATACATACATACATACATACATACATACACATACACATACATACATACATACATACATACATACATACATACATACATACATACATACATACATACATTACATACATACATACATACATACATACATACATACATACATACATACATACATTACATACATACATACATACATACATACATACATACATACATAGTTATGTTTCCGTATAAACATGTTTATTATATGTTAGACTTCGCATGTCTCTCCAACTTTCTGTCATCACTCACCAAGCCTGGAAAAACATGCCGATGATGGCCATCATCGCAAGTCTTCCGTTGGCCAACTCGGCCGCTAGCTTCGTCTTCTTTGCCTCCGGGTCAGAGGCAGTCAGCACCTTGAATCCGAAGTCACCCGCCGCAGCAGGAGTTCCCGCCGACTGGTCCTGGGACACCTCGCAGAAGGCCATGTAAGCCAAGATCTGACCCCACCCAGCAGCAGGCACTTTCGAAATCGCAGCCAGGCCATTGGGCACGTCGGCGAACTTCAGACCAGCGGAAGGGCTCAGATAGCCCGGGAATTTTCCGGTGATCTCCGGGGTAATGTATCCCATTGTGGCCTTCGTCAATGTTTAAACCCAAAGCTGGATAATAACTGTAAACATGTTCGGACGCCATCGTTTTTATACAAGGCAAAGATGTAAGATATTACTGAACCTCGATCAAGCGGCAAGCATGGAAATGCGACCATGCTTCAGCTCCGTCTGGCGACGTCGGGCGAAGTTCTCAGTGCTACCATCGGCCGTGAACCCTGCCGGGTCCCAGAACCCCACTGGTGCTTGCACTCCAAGCTCGTTTTCAAAGGCACGCAAAGGCGAAGCAGTGTAGTTGGCCCAGTCACCCCAAGCACTGCCAGTGAGACCATCCTGCATGCTGCACAAGAATCTCTTCATGCAAGACGTACCGGAAAAACAAACAAGTAATACTGTAATGCAAGCAAACCAACAAATTCTCTACGAAGGTAAAACAGCCGCATGTTGCCAAACCAGCAAGCAAGCCAAGGAACGAACAACTCGAACAAATCACAGAAGTCGCAAACAAGCAAAAAAACAAACAAACTAGCAGACAGACAGACAGACAAACAGACAAGCAGACAAACAAACAAACAAACAAACAGACAAACAAACAGACAGACAAACAAACGTTCAGACAGATAAACAAACAAGAAAACAAAGAAACAATCAAACAAAGCAGACAAAACAAGAAAAGCCAGCAAACAAAACAAACCCAGCAAGCAATCATCACAACAAGCACACAAGCAACAAAGAAGCAAACAAGCACGCAAGCATGAGTTCAAACACACAAACAACAAACAAACACATATACATACACACACACAAAAACAAACAAACAAACAAACAAACAAACAAACAAACAAACAAACAAACAAGCAAACAAACAAACAAACAAACAAGCAAGCAAGCAAGAAAACAAACAAGCAAACAAACAAGCAAGCAAACAAATACACAAACAAACAAACCGACAAACGGACAGACAGACAAACAGGACAAACAGGACAATCAGGACAAACAAGAAAACAAACACAAGCACGCAAAGATTAGCCTGCCCCAGTGTGAATGCTTTGTTGTTATTGCTAAGCACACCGGTAAATGCTCATGCAAAAATAGCAATGCCAAATGCACGGTGGCTTGCGCGTAAACATGTTTACCATATGTCAGACTTCGCATGTCTCTCCAACTTTCTGTCATCACTCACCAAGCCTGGAAAAACATGCCGATGATGGCCATCATCGCAAGTCTTCCGTTGGCCAACTCGGCCGCTAGCTTCGTCTTCTTCGCCTCCGGGTCAGAGGCAGTCAGCACCTTGAATCCGAAGTCACCCGCCGCAGCAGGAGTTCCCGCCGACTGGTCCTGGGACACCTCGCAGAAGGCCATGTAAGCCAAGATCTGACCCCACCCAGCAGCAGGCACTTTCGAAATCGCAGCCAGGCCATTGGGCACGTCGGCGAACTTCAGACCAGCGGAAGGGCTCAGATAGCCCGGGAATTTTCCGGTGATCTCGGGGGTAATGTATCCCATTGTGGCCTTCGTCAATGTTTCAACCCAAAGCAGGATAATAACTGTAAACATGTTCGGACGCCATCATTTTCAAACAGGGCAAAGACGTAAGATATTACTGAACCTCGATCAAGCGGCAAGCATGGAAATGCGACCATGCTTCAGCTCCGTCTGGCGACGTCGGGCGAAGTTCTCAGTGCTACCATCGGCCGTGAACCCTGCCGGGTCCCAGAACCCCACTGGTGCTTGCACTCCAAGCTCGTTTTCAAAGGCACGCAAAGGCGAAGCAGTGTAGTTGGCCCAGTCACCCCAAGCACTGCCAGTGAGACCATCCTGCATGCTGCACAAGAATCTCTTCATGCAAGACGTACCGGAAAAACAAACAAGTAATACTGTAATGCAAGCAAACCAACAGATTCTCTACGAAGGTAAAACAGCCGCATGTTGCCAAACCAGCAAGCAAGCCAAGGAACGAACAACTCGAACAAATCACAGAAGTCGCAAACAAGCAAAAAAACAAACAAACTAGCAGACAGACAGACAGACAAACAGACAAGCAGACAAACAAACAAACAGACAGACAAACAAACAGACAGACAAACAAACGTTCAGACAGATAAACGAACAAGAAAACAAAGAAACAATCAAACAAAGCAGACAAAACAAGAAAAGTCAGCAAACAAAACAAACCCAGCAAGCAATCATGACAACAAGCACACTAGCAAAAAAGAAGCAAACAAGCACGCAAGCATGAGTTCAAACACACAAACAACAAACAGACACATATACATACACACACAAACAAACAAACAAACAAACAAACAAACAAACAAACAAGCAAGCAAGCAAGCAAGCAAGAAAACAAACAAGCAAACAAACAAGCAAGCAAACAAATACACAAACAAACAAACCGACAGACGGACAGACAGACAAACAGGACAAACAGGACAATCAGGACAAACAAGAAAACAAACACAAGCACGCAAAGATTAGCCTGCCCCAGGGTGAATGCTTTGTTGTTATTGCTAAGCACACCGGTAAATGCTCATGCAAAATAACAATGCCAAATGCACGGTGGCTTGCGCGTAAACATGTTTACCATATGTCAGACTTCGCATGTCTCTCCAACTTTCTGTCATCACTCACCAAGCCTGGAAAAACATGCCGATGATGGCCATCATCGCAAGTCTTCCGTTGGCCAACTCGGCCGCTAGCTTCGTCTTCTTCGCCTCCGGGTCAGAGGCAGTCAGCACCTTGAATCCGAAGTCACCCGCCGCAGCAGGAGTTCCCGCCGACTGGTCCTGGGACACCTCGCAGAAGGCCATGTAAGCCAAGATCTGACCCCACCCAGCAGCAGGCACTTCGAAATCGCAGCCAGGCCATTGGGCACGTCGGCGAACTTCAGACCAGCGGAAGGGCTCAGATAGCCCGGGAATTTTCCGGTGATCTCGGGGGTAATGTATCCCATTGTGGCCTTCGTCAATGTTTAAACCCAAAGCTGGATAATAACTGTAAACATGTTCGGACGCCATCATTTTTATACAAGGCAAAGATGTAAGATATTACTGAACCTCGATCAAGCGGCAAGCATGGAAATGCGACCATGCTTCAGCTCCGTCTGGCGACGTCGGGCGAAGTTCTCAGTGCTACCATCGGCCGTGAACCCTGCCGGGTCCCAGAACCCCACTGGTGCTTGCACTCCAAGCTCGTTTTCAAAGGCACGCAAAGGCGAAGCAGTGTAGTTGGCCCAGTCACCCCAAGCGCTGCCAGTGAGACCATCCTGCATGCTGCACAAGAATCTCTTCATGCAAGACGCACCGGAAAAACGAACAAGTAATACTGTAACGCAAGCAAACCAACAGATTCTCTACGAAGGTAAAACAGCCGCATGTTGCCAAACCAGCAAGCAAGCCAAGGAACGAACAACTCGAACAAATCACAGACAAGTCGCAAACAAGAAAAAAAAAAAAAAAAAAAAACTAGCAGACAGACAGACAGACAAACAGACAAGCAGACAAACAAACAAACAAACAAACAAACAAACAAACAGACAGACAAACAAACAGACAGACAAACAAACGTTCAGACAGATAAACGAACCAGAAAACTACGAAACAATCAAACACAGCAGACAAAACAAGACAAGTCAGCAAACAAAACAAACCCAGCAAGCAATCATCACAACAAGCACACGAGCAAAAAAGAAGCAAACAAGCACGCAAGCATGAGTTCAAACACACAAACAACAAACAAACACATATACATACACACACAAACAAACAAACAAACAAACAAACAAACAAACAAACAAGCAAGCAAGCAAGAAAACGAACAAGCAAGCAAACAAATACACAAACAAACAAACCGACAGACAGACAAACAGGACAAACAGGACAAACAGGACAAACAGGACAAACAGGACAATCAGGACAATCAGGACAAACAAGAAAACAAACACGAGCACGCAAAGATTAGCCTGCCCCAGTGTGAATGCTTTGTTGTTATTGCTAAGCACACCGGTAAATGCTCATGCAAAAATAGCAATGCCAAATGCACGGTGGTTTGCGCGTAAACATGTTTACCATATGTCAGACTTCGCATGTCTCTCCAACTTTCTGTCATCACTCACCAAGCCTGGAAAAACATGCCGATGATGGCCATCATCGCAAGTCTTCCGTTGGCCAACTCGGCCGCTAGCTTCGTCTTCTTTGCCTCCGGGTCAGAGGCAGTCAGCACCTTGAATCCGAAGTCACCCGCCGCAGCAGGGGTTCCCGCCGACTGGTCCTGGGACACCTCGCAGAAGGCCATGTAAGCCAAGATCTGACCCCACCCAGCAGCAGGCACTTTCGAAATCGCAGCCAGGCCATTGGGCACGTCGGCGAACTTCAGACCAGCGGAAGGGCTCAGATAGCCCGGGAATTTTCCGGTGATCTCGGGGGTAATGTATCCCATTGTGGCCTTCGTCAATGTTTAAACCCAAAGCTGGAGAATAACTGTAAACATGTTCGGACGCCATCATTTTGAAACAGGGCAAAGACGTAAGATTTTACTGAACCTCGATCAAGCGGCAAGCATGGAAATGCGACCATGCTTCAGCTCCGTCTGGCGACGTCGGGCGAAGTTCTCAGTGCTACCATCGGCCGTGAACCCTGCCGGGTCCCAGAACCCCACTGGCGCTTGCACTCCAAGCTCGTTTTCAAAGGCACGCAAAGGCGACGCAGTGTAGTTGGCCCAGTCACCCCAAGCGCTGCCAGTGAGACCATCCTGCATGCTGCACAAGAATCTCTTCATGCAAGACGTACCGGAAAAACGAACAAGTAATACTGTAACGCAAGCAAACCAACAGATTCTCTACCAAGGTAAAACAGCCGCATGATGCCAAACCAGCAAGCAAGCCAAGGAACGAACAACCCGAACAAATCACAGACAAGTCGCAAACAAGCAAAAAATTCACAAACTAGCAGACAAACAGACAGACAAACAGACAAGCAGACAAACAAGCAAACAAACAAAGGAATACAACACAACACAACGAAGACAGACAGACAGACAGACAGACAGACAGACAGACAGACAGACAGACAGGCAGGCAGGCAGGCAGGCAGGCAGACAGACAGACAGACAGACGGGCAGACAGACAGACAGACGGACAAACAAACAAACAAACAAACAAACAGACAGACAGACAGACAGACAGACAGCCAAGAAAAGCATGCAAAAAAACTCACAAGCAGGCAAGCAATTAAACAACCAAGCAGACCCACAAACAAACAAACAAACAAACAAACAAACAAACAACGAAAGCAAAAGACCGACACACAAACAAACAAACAAACAAACAAACAAACAAACAAACAAAAGACCGACACAAAAGAAAAACAATCAAGCAAAGCAGGCAAAACAAGCAAAGCCGGTAAAAAAGACAAACCGGGCAATCCTTCATCACAGCAAGCACGAAAGCAAACAAGCAAGCAAACATGCATTCAAGCACACAAACAATCAAACAAACAAACAAACAAACAAACAGACAGACAAACAAACAAACACACAGACAGACAGACAAACAAAGCAAGCAAAACAAGCAAACGAGCAACCAAGCAAACAAACAAACAAACAAACAACCAACAAACAAACAAAAACAAGCAACCTAACGAAATAACTAGCAAGCAAGCAAGCAAGCAAACAAACGAGCACATAAAGCAATCAAACAGACAGACGGGCAGACGGACAGACAGACAGACTTTGAGACAAATAATCGAACAAGAAAACAACGAAACAATCAAACAAAGAAGACAAAAAAGCAAAGCAAGCAAACAAAACGAACCCAACAAACAAACATCACAGCAAGCCCGCGAGCAAAAAACAAAAAAAGAAGCAAGCGACCAAGCACGAAAGCATGATTTCATTCACACAAACAACAAACAGACAAACAGACAAACAGACAAACACGCAAAGATACATGCATACACACATGCACTACATACATACATACATACATACATACATACATACATACATACATACATACATACACACATGCATACATACATACATACATGCATACATACATTCATTACATAACAAAACATTACATACATTACATTACATTACAGTACATTACATTACATTACATTACATTACATTACATTACATTACATTACATTACATTACATACATACATACATACATTACATACATACATGTATACATTACATACATACATACATACATACATTACATACCATACCATACCATACATTACATTACATTACAATACATTACAATACATTACAATACATACGTACATTACATCACATCACATCACATCACATTACATTACATTACATTACATTACATTACATTACATTACATTACATACATACATACATACATACATACATTACATACATACATATATATATATACATACATTACATACATACATACACACATACATACATTACACACCATACCATACCATACATTACATGACATTACATTACATTACATTACATACGTACATTACATTACACTACAGTACATTACATTACATTACATTACATTACATTACATTACATACATACATTACATACATACATTACATTACATTACATTACATTACATTACATTACATTACATTACATTACATTACATACATACATTACATACATACATACATACATACATACATACATACATACATACATTCATACATACATACATACAAACATACATACATACATACATACATTACGTACATTACATACATACATACATACATACATACATACATACCATCGGCCGTGAACATTGAACTCCCCGCAGGATCCCGTGATATGCCTAGAACCGACATTGGCTGAGCAGTTTGTGTCCGCAGTTCTTGGGGCACTGCGGACACAAACTGCTCAGCCAATGCCAGTTCTAGGCATATCACAGGATCCTGCGGGGAGTTCAACATGTGGTGAAACCTGTGAAACACTGTGCGCTGCAACACTGCTGCTACTACTTGGTTGATTGCTTTTTGCAAGGTTCGAGTTTGGGTTAGTCTTGCCTCGAAGTCGGCGCCTCGGTTGAGGCGCAGGTTGCAAGTCAAGAACCCACTGTGGTGTGGGATGGGGCACGGCAGGAGCTCTGCAAACAGTTCTAGGTAAATTTGCATGTCGCAGCCCCCAAGGCCAGGATCTCTGGCAAATGCTGCACCATATCCATCCGTACGCATTGGAATTTGAAGGGTCCTTGCCAGTTTTTCGATGCCAAACAAGACGATGCCCAGCGGCATTTAGCGCATTTTGCACGCGCTCCCAAGCTTGGTCCAATCTGTGCGAGGCTTGGACCTTCCCCGGCTGCTACAACCACTGTGCTTTGGGTAGGCTTGCGAAAGCGCAAGGTTTGTTTAGAATCTAGAATTTCAAATGCTTTATATAACTAGTTTGCAAACCACATTTTATACAAAACACTCCCGTGTTATGTGGAATTGGTCGAATGGCGTGACCACGCCGATCTGCCGGCTTTAATTGTGCAGCCGGATCATGAGGCGTGGGTTGCACGAATGCAACATCCTGAGCTTCGTTCCAAGTAGTTCTATGGCGCTGCCACACCGCAACCAGCGCTTCCTGTATTGTTTGGACTGCAAATGCTGCGATTGCAAAATTTGCGGGCACAAGGGTCGTGCGTCTGAAACACACTGGCAGGTGTTCCAGTGGTGCTGGTAACGCATTCAATGCTGGTTCGCGCAAGTCTTCATCAGAGGGCATACCCACGTGATATGGTGGGCATCAGGTGTGCCGCCACATGCGCAAAAGGTTTTACCTTGCTTTTTCCGATGGCGATGATCACGTTCCGGATCCATGAGTCCGCCTACCAGGAGAAGTCTCAAAATTTTGAGTTTCGGTCGTGGATCAGTCTCCGGTGTTGGTGGTTCACACAATCTCTGGTCAAGTAAGAATTGGAGCTCATCTGCGTGCTTTGTCCAATTGTCTAGTAGGGCAGTGCTTATCTTTTTATTTATTCCTACTTGTGCACCCTCGAAGTCTTGCCGTCTGTCTCGCGCAAGTTGCCTCCACACGTTAAGACGCCATCGCTCACGAAGGTCGTGTTGCCAGCGCGTGCTTAACGTACGCTGGTTTAGACAGCTGGCCACACAAGGTTCAAAGACATCATCCTGTAAAAGCTGCTTGGCCCTGGTTACCGGTCCATCGTGACCGCTGTCGGCGGTGTCAAGCAATCTTTTGAAGGCGAGTTGTTCCGGACAGCTTGGAAGCGCACGCTGCAGTAAACGTGTGGCTGACATTTGAAGGGCAAAGGCGGGTTCAAGTGACGGCGGAGCCAGAACTGCGAAGACAGCCTTGGGGGCCGCAGAGTACCAGTCAGTGTAGTGTTGAGTAAGCATTGCACAACGCCTTTGCGTAAGTGACGCGCTTCGTCCGCGGTGAGCGCTAAAGCATGCGTGCCCTGCCCCCAAGTCAACTGCGGCATGATGCGTTGGATGTGCTTGACCTTGCCAAACAAACCAAGCGGCAATTTTCTTATTGCCTGCACACTGCCTTGCCACTTTCGTGCCCTGTCCTCTTCAAGAAAAGACCACTGCTTTTCGCTTGTGTTTACGAGTCCCCCCGTCAGTCGAAAGGCTTTACTGTGCGCGTTTACCCCCGGAATTTGTTTTTCTAGCCCTGGCGGGCCCCAGAAGTAGTAGTGGCTTGAGAGAGCGGACAGGCTGCATACAGCAGCCCCACTCATCATCGTCCATCTTCTATCCAACACCTGTGCGGGGAATTGTGAAACTAGCCGAATTCTGGAATTGCTTGCCGGTGATACGTCGTCGCGCTTCCGCCGTCGTGGCGCTACTTGATGCTGGCGTGTGAGAGATGCGTTGGTCGCGCAGGTGCTGGCGAAGCCAGGGTGGTGGTGCGTGATACGTGTTGGGGGAGGGATTGCAAATGGTACGCCTCACGTTGGCATGTCGGTGTTTCCATGGCCACTGCCGGCCACACATCCGACACCAAAGCCTGCCAAAGTCATCGAGGCTGGGGTCTTTCCCGACTTTGCGGTTCCAAATCAGCTCATGGTTTCCCTGGTTATGCTGCTGGTGTAAATCCCGCTCAAGTTCATCAGTTCATCAAGCCGGGTTTCGGAGCGCGGCGCTCCAGGCTCGGTGAGCCACTGACGCTTTGGAAGCTGCGCGTGTTTGCACGGAGCATTCAGGATTTTGAGTCGCTGATGTTTGATGTGCTTTGTTTTTGCTTGCCATCCCGACCTTCAACACATGCCCTCGGCGAGAGGTTCGTTGGCCTGCTCGGGCGGTTTCCCAGGCGGAGGGTCGTGGGGTGGGTGGACAGTGAGTTGCTCGTCCTGCGTTTCTGTCCACTGTTGTATGTGGCGCTGCCACACGTTGACAAGGGCTTCTTGTATTGTTGTGACCTCGTTGCCGCTGATGCGCATGGTTTCGGGCACTCAAAGCATGTGGGAAGCGCGTAGGGAAGCTGCCCACTGGTGCTTGCACTCCAAGCTCGTTTTCAAAGTGTGGTACTTTGTATGAGGTGCAGCGGGCCCCTACTGCCTCACTGATGAGGGAGCCCTCAATCCCCTCGCGCGCCACAGTGGCTGTGGCCTGGAGTTGTCGTAATCCGGGAACCACAAAGAATGCCAGTGACCTGAAGATGGCCACTCACCGGAGAGGAAGCAGGCGGAAGCGAGCGTGACCTCAAGAGTCTGTCTCAAGAGCAAGGGCCTATGCAACAGGCCGGCAGTGGCGGGGAGTGAGAACC